GAAGATAAGCCATGTATAAACAATTTTATAATAGAGCAAGGGCAGATACATGAACATACTCATTTGATGACATGGAATCAACTAAATGATATGGAAGGGAACAAATAAGAGTATGTGGACGTGGACATTTGTTTTTTATCATGACAATTGGTCTGCTCTCCCAGATATTTCATCAATGCATTTTTATGACAGACCATTGTGTTTTCTGGGAAATGCTTCATGATTACCTGTCATTGGATTGCACCCTATCAGGTTAACACCCTGTCTTTATGCTTAGCAAATACTCTAATTCTGCATTGATTAGTGATTCACAAACTTTTAGAAGTTGCAACACTCTGCCACTGTTTTATTTTTGTCATACCATACCCCCATACTTCCTAAAAGTATTTTATGATATAGGAGTAAAATAATTTTAAGAGTTTTATATTTTTTAAATGAATAAAATTGGGAACTGAGAATTTTTTGACACCCATTAGTCATTAAAAATATCCCAGGATATTGCAAAACCTAGACAAGGAATTGCTTACCTAGAAAAATAATAGAAAGGTATAAACAATCCAATAGTTTAGAAATACTACATAATTACATGGTTGAGTATAGTATAGTATAGTATAGTATAGTATAGTATAGTATAGTATAGTATAGTGGTTAACTTCACACTCTGAGGTCAGATCTGGGTTTGAAACTTTTTAAAATTGAGGTAGATATAATTCAGTTATAATATTCACCATTTTAAAGTATACAATTCATTAGCTTTTAGTATATGCACAAAGTTTTGCAACCATCACTACTATCTAATTTCTGAACATTTTCATCATGCAGAAAAGAAACTCCATACCAATTAACAGTAACTCTGTATTCCCCAACTCCCCCAACCTCCCAGCCTTTGGCAGCCACTAATCTATTTTCTGTTTTTATGGGTTTGTCTATTCTAGATATCATAAATGGAATCATACAATTTGAAGCCCTTTGTGACTGGATTCTTTCAGTTAGAATAATGTTCTCAAAGTTCACCTATGTTGTAGGACATACCAGTACTTTATTCCTTTTTCTTGCTGAATAGTATTTCATTATATGGATATACCACATTTGTTTACCCATTCATCACTTGATGGACATTTGGGTTGTTTCCATCATTTTGATATTATGAATAATGCTGCTATGAACATTGTGTACAAGTTTTTGGGTATGTCTTGAATTTTTCTGGATCATATGGTAACTTTACATTTAACCTTTTGAGGAATTGCTGAACTATTTGCCAAAGCAGCTGCATCATTTTACATTCCCACCAACAATTATGAGGGTTCTTGTTTCTCCATATCCTGGTTGACACTTGCTATATTTAAAAAATTATAGCTATCCTAGTGAATGTGAAGTAATATTATAGCCAGCCTAGTGGGTATGAAATGGTATCTCAAAGTGGTTTTGATTTGTATTTCCCTAATGGCTAATGATGTTGAGTATCTTTGCATATGCCTATTGATCATTTATATATCTCCTTTTGAGGAACATTTATTCAAATCCTTGCCCATTTTTGAACTTTTTGTCTTTTTATTGTTAAGTTGCAAGAGTTATGTATATTTCTAGATACTAGACCTGTATCACGTATATAATCTGCAAATATTTATTTTTCTCATTCTGTGAGTTGTATTTTTAACTTTCTTGATGGTGTAATTTGTAGCACAGAAATTTTTAATTTTGAAGTTCGAGTTATCTGTTTTTTCCTTTAGTTGATTGAGCAGTTAAGAAACCCTTGCTTAACCTAAGCTCATGAAGAATTACACCTGTTTCCTTCCAAGAGTTTTATACTTTCTGCAATTATATTTAGATCATTGATCCATTTTGAGTTGATTTTTATGTATGGTGTAAGGTAGGGCTCTAACTTTATCCTTTTGCATGCAGATATCCATTTATCCCAGCACTATTTGTTGAAAAGATTATTCTTTCTCCCATTGAATTGTCTTAATATTCTTGTTAAAAGTCAATTGACCATAAATATATGAGTATATGAGTTTATTTCTGGACTCTCAGTTGTATTCTGGGTCTGATTCTTAGCTTTGCTACTTGCAAACAAGTGTGACCCTGGATAATATGACATACACAGAACATTTTTCAAACAGTTCTAGAAGATTCAGGAATCCCTGGTTAAAAATCCTATTTTGACCTTATCTAAGGCAATCATGAACCATACCATACTTTCCCAAGCTTAATTTCATAGGTTCAAGTCCACACTTACTTGGGAACAATTTCAGGATTCTAGGAAAAATTAATGAGCTTTTCCTCAGTACAGAATTTATACAACATCATCCTAAGACTTAGAAGACTTACGGTACTCTATTTTATATAGTTTTCAACACATAGACATGTCTTTCAGCAATACTCCTAACCAATTGTCATTTTGGTGAGAGGCGTACTTGACCCTCCCAGGTAGCTTCCAACACAGACATTGAGGAATGCAGACATGCAGTTCTGGTAGAGGCAGTTATAGAAATGCAATGTGAGATGGAGATAGGCCTAGAAGAAAGAGATACAATTTTGGAAGATTCTCGGAATGGAGAGGCAGATTCAGAGAAATTCAGAGGGACACAGAGACAAAAATAGAAGCGGAAATATGCTGTTTAGAAACCCTCTTGTAAATAGTCAAGATAAACTTCAGTGAAGGGGGTGAGATGATTGAAATAGAGGTGTAGGGAAAAGAGCACAGGCATTGTGACGCAGTACTCTGGGTATGTATGTTCCTGGTTGATTTACTTAATGCTGAGCCTCAAATTCCTAACTATAATACAGATATAGCAGTAGTACTTCCTCACAGGTTTCTTCATAGAATTTAATGAAATAATGTGTGTAAAGTGGTTAATACAGGACTCAGAATACAGGATGTGCTCTATAAATGCTAAGTCCCTTTCTAACTTCTTCTACTTTAAGGGATTCTTTATTTAACAATTATTGAAATACCTAGTGTGTGTGAAGCACCATGATTTGAATAAACTATGAAATAGTTGATGCCCTCAAGGAACAGAGAGAGTTAGCTGGAGACACAGATATGTAAATGAAATAAAACAATGTTCTGAAAGCTACCAGTGGTTGAGGTGATAAACATGTAAACAAGAGAACTCCTAGTTTTCTAAGCTTGGATGGTGATATTAACCAGATAGAGAAAACTGGAAGAGGAGCAGGTATTTGTTTGTTATTTCCAGGGAGGGGAGAATAACAAGTTCACTTATGGGCATGTTGAATTGAGCAGGGAAGCTATCAAAGGCAATATTCCTGCCTTGAGTGGAAGTTGGAATCTATCATCTCCAAAGTTTCTTCCAGTTCTAAGATTTTATGATATATGTATATTTTAATTATTTTACTTTATCTCTGTAGGTAAATGTTGATTGTTGTTATAAGGTACAGAATACTAGCCAACAATTTTCAAGCACTTTTAAACTGTAAAATAAGAATACTACATGTCTCATTTTTTAAAAAGTGGTTATACAAACATCTGAACTTAGCAAACTGAGAGTGACTGTTTTACAAAAAGATTCTTTGCTTTTAAAGTTCAGTTCCCTATAGATTTCTGCAGAATAGCTAGTTTTTTCAGAGTAATTAAGAGGTTTGATTTAGAAACAGCTTTTAGGGATAAATCTATTGTACTTTTTCAGAAAGTGTAATTGTACTCAGTATTTAAGTATCCTGTGAGAAGGCTATTTGGGTATCTCTGATAGATGACCAAATCTGAACAAATATCAGTGGCAGAATTAAATTCTCAAGCCCTGATGAGTATCTCCAATGATAGTGAGATGATGAATAAAAGTTGTTCAAAAGCAAAAGGATAAATAGGATTAACACTTTTAGTCAGTAAGATATTTTACATTGCTCCTTAGTTAAGGCTAGCTTAGAATATTCATGTGTTGATTTTAATTAATGGAAAACCTGTGGCAGCAAGTATCTATATGTTCAGCTCAGAAATGTCTATGAGAGAAGAGATAGATTGACCAAGAGGTTAGTTTTTTTTTAGTTGGGTGACTTCTTTTATTCTGATGCACACTAAAATGAAGATTACCACATCTGAAAATTTCTGGCTCCGCACTTCGCTAATTTATATCTAGATATTAATTTGCATCTTGTTATGTTTTAGGAAGTATGAAAAGACACATGGGGAGGTGAGCTTCATAGCAGACTTGTGCTAGTTCAGCAGGTGTTAAAACCAACTGACGCCACAAGGTAATATGTCTTAATTATTGATCAGCAACTATTGCTGAGTAAGTTGAAAAGTTGAAATCATAGCTCATTTAGTTTGATGAAATGAAGACTTTTCTGGAGGTGAGGGAAGAAAGTGAAAATGAAAACTATCATCTTTTGTCTCTAGTACCTCAGTTTACTAGAAATGGGATGGAACAGAAATTTCTATACGTGTTAGTAAGAAGTAATTCAGATTCATACTCTTAAGAACTTGCCATCCTGTAAGCAAGAACTACATATTTTAAAGCTCTCTCTTCTTTTTATGCAGGCTCTCAGAATGGAATCATTTCAAGAACTAGTGAGTTAGTTTGGAATACGGCCTTGTTTTCCTTCCACTATATGTGTAATAGGAGCAGCCCCTATATTTTACCTTGAAGTAAAATAGAGAACAATATTGGAAAATGGAGATTGAGAATTTTGCGGGACCTCAGGCTCGTCATAGTTGAGGACAAGAAATGTCAGTGGAAGATATGTGAGAGAATGATGCATGCCAATGTTGTGAGCTGGAATAGTAATGTTAATCAGTAAACCAGGATTCTGAGGTGGCCACTATGTTCTATTTATTAGTGAAGGAAAATAAACGGAGGCATTTGTCAAAAACAAGGTTTGAAGGGGGAGAAAGGCTTTCTAATTAATTCCCAAATTGCTTTTCTATTACTCCAGCATCCCTGGGGAATCCAGCATGTAAAGTCTCCATTGGTTAGTGAATAATTATACTACATTCACTTTTCCCTTGGAAATGCTTAATGACTCTTGCTTTGTATTCCTTGCAGGTGACATCCCAGCCTCTGTGGTTCTTAATGCCTCAGCAGGATTATTTTCACTAAAGATGGAAACACTGGAGTCTGAATTGACATGCCCAATCTGCCTAGAGTTGTTTGAAGACCCCCTTCTGCTCCCTTGTGCTCATAGCCTTTGCTTCAGCTGTGCCCATCGCATCTTGGTCTCCAGCTGCAGCTCTGGTGAATCCATTGAACCCATTACTGCTTTCCAGTGTCCTACGTGCAGGTATGTTATCTCTCTGAACCACCGGGGCCTGGATGGCCTCAAGAGGAATGTGACTTTGCAGAACATTATTGACCGCTTCCAGAAGGCTTCAGTCAGTGGGCCCAATTCTCCAAGTGAGAGCCGCCGGGAGAGGACTTATAGGCCCAGCACCACCATGTCTAGTGAGCGAATTGCTTGCCAGTTCTGTGAACAGGACCCACCAAGAGATGCAGTGAAAACATGCATCACGTGTGAGGTTTCCTACTGTGACCGTTGCCTGAGGGCCACACACCCCAACAAGAAGCCTTTCACCAGCCACCGCCTGGTGGAACCAGTGCCAGACACACATCTTCGAGGGATCACCTGCTTGGACCATGAGAATGAGAAAGTGAACATGTATTGTGTCTCTGATGACCAATTGATCTGTGCCTTATGCAAACTGGTGGGGCGCCACCGAGACCATCAGGTTGCGTCCCTGAATGATCGATTTGAGAAACTCAAGGTAAGGGATCTGGGAAATATCCCTTATACAACTTTGTCTCTTTATACACAGTTATATGGGTAGCAAGTTCCCTAATTAAATGGGTCACTTTTCTTATCTAAAAAGTGAGTTAACTCCAAGTTGTTCTCATGAGGAATAACCTACTCACCTGCAAGCTCTCACTGGAATCTATTTCATATGTTGCATAAGCCTGCCTGTATCTGGCCAATTCTGGGGGATTTGGCCCATGGCCCACCACACCAGTAGTCCATCTAGGAAAACAGCACCCTCTTTCCTCTTTCAGTGACATATTGCACACTGCATATCTTTGCCATGATCTTTCCACCCCTTCTTTTAAGTATGTGAGTACCTGTGTAGGTATGCTACAATTAGCATTTGCGCTGATTTGCATATTTGTGTATAGCAATGGGAAGGCTGGGTGTGTCTCTGTGTAGGTGTGGGTGGAGGTGTACTAGTAGGTGAGAGATTTTTGTGGAGGACAATAGTGTATGTTTGCACACTCAGTACTCTAAAGAAAAAATGTTTGGCACTGGCCACTACAAATTGCCATTAAGCTCTTAACACAGGGCTAATTCTAAGCCTACTTTAAAAAACAACAACAAAAAAATTAAAGTAAACAATAAAAAACAGATGAAAAAGGAACTTCAGTGTACCTTGAGGTCAGGGGGAATGATCAAATACCTGAACTAAACATTTAAACCGAAGGCCATAAATATTTAATTCAATATCAGATTTTGTGCCAATGTTCATTTTTTGTGGTTTATTGACTGAAACACTTGTTTGCAGTCCCTGCCTTGAAAATTCCTAGTCTTTCATTTGTGTTCAGTGGACAGTTTTCCGAAGTTGTTGGGCCATATAATATTTATGTGCAAGTCTAAGTGCCTATTTTTAAAGCCCTACTACCTCATGTTGATGTTAAAATATCATATCCAGCAAATTGTTTTATTCCCATTGCCTGCCAAATATGTGGTTTATCTTCTCTTTAAAAGGGAGCAACTTAGAATTTCCAGAAAAATAAAATGTGTAAATGAGTGAGATTACCACTGCTAAATAGAGCCTGAATATATAAGCCAAGCTCTAAGGAAGATCTAGATATGATAAAAGGAGGGCAAGAAAGGGGTGGAGAGTTTCCTCTTGCTGTGCTCTGGAAAAGTCAATGTAACTTAGGTAAAATTTATGATATTGGTGAGGGCAGCAATACTCAGAAAAGGATACATGTACTCTCCTGTAATTTGTGCAAGCAATATTGAGAGTAGTCATATTGACAATGCTTTGTGCCTTTTTTATTGTTATTTATATCTAATATTTATAAATTTGTACATAGTTCAATGATTATGTTTATTTCATGCAAGGTGATATTATATTGAGTGGAGTAAGCCAGTCACAGAAAGGCAAATATCAAATGATCTCACTTATAAGTGGAATCTCATGGACATAATATACTGATGAACAAAATAGGTTCAGAGGTATGGATGCAGGGAACAGACTATCAGATATGGGGCGGGGGGAGGGAGGAGGGAGGAAGGCAGTGGAGACAGGAAGAGATTAACCAAAGAACTTATATACATATATGCAAAACCAATGGACAGAGACAATAGTGTGGTGAAAGCCTGGGGTGGGGCAGGTGCTGGGAGGAGGGAGACAAAGAGGGGGGGAATTCGGGAACATCTGTAATACTGTCAACAATAAAAAAAGACTGTAGGGAAGAATAATCTTATTAACTTCAATTCTTAGAGTCATAAGAAGTTAGGCCTTGATCTTGGCCTAGTTGAAGGCCAACACTACAAAGTGGTATAAACTAAGAGTTTGATAGGTTAAGCAATTTGGTCAAAGTCACAAAATTGGAACCGGAACTCAGCTTCTAGACCATGAGTTCAGGATCCTTTGTAGTGCAACCTGCTGCCACTTTATTTTAGACCACTTTTCCCCATGAAATGTGATTTTAAACTAAACATTATGCTCCAGCAATTACATATCTTATGGGTCACAGATAGACTATTAACAGCATCAAGGAAAGGACATATTGTATAAACTTACAGCTCCATAATGGCAAAAGATGGGGGGTTTGCAGGAAGAGTGGGGGATATGAAGAGGATGGAACAATCTCTGCCAAATATTTGCAGGTGTTAGAACTATAATAAGGCCTTGAGAAATATTCCAAACAGAAAAATCTGTATCCATATGTACTATTGAGATAACAAAAGACTGGATGGAATAAGCCTGTATCTACAGGACACCAGCTTTTTGAAAACATCCAAAAACATGAAAACATTGAATGATGGATTAGACATTTGGCATCGTGAAGCTATGGCCCTCGTTTCCAGGGATGGATGGAACACAAAAATATTTTACCAAAATATACTTTAGTCTGTAACTAATCAGTAATTTTCGGAGTAAGAAAGGCCAGATTTTGAATCGTTCCCCTTTAATTTTTGAAGGAAATGTGCAGAAAAATCTGATTATAAATTAAGTGGAAACTTTTTTTGCTCATTTTTGGACAGAGAGTGGAAACATATGAATCATTCCCAGCCATGTGGTTTGTTATATTGCCTGGAACATCTTGAATTTGGGGAGGGAGAGGGAAGTACTGCTTGTGTGTGTGTGGGGGGGGAGCACTTTGTTTTGGTGCCAAGTGTAAAAGGATATTAGTACTCCACATAAAGCAGAGAGAAAATCTGACTTTCAGTGTCACATGTACTCACTTTTTTTGAGTTAATTTTAATTTAGAAAAGCATTTAGGATTATCCCCTTAATCTACTTGATGCTTCCCCAAAGAGAAAGGAGAAAGCTGGCTGTCAGAAGCTATGGGGGAGATGGCCTTGAGCATACTCTCCTCGCCCTGAGGGGAGCACTGCAGTCCTACAGGAGAAGGGGAAGAATGGTAGCATATATATATGTACAGATATATATGGGTTTGACTTTCTGGCCAGTAACTGATACAACATTTATTTGTACTTTTTCCTTCTGGAGCTTCATTCTTGGCGTTTATAACTCTCCTTTGTACAAACATCCCTGATTAGGATCAGTATTTGGATCTCTAATATTTATTTGTTCAATAAAGAATAAACAAACCATTATGTAATAGATGCAAGGTCAGAATAACCAGAAGCTAGTCTGTCTTCTTAGCATGTACTCAAAATGGATTAGAGAGTTTGGGATACTTAGTATAGTTTATTATCCTTATTTAGTTGTCTGGTCTACTGACATGTCCTTCAGAAGACTACCAATGGTTTAATTAATTCTTCAATTTCAAAGAATACTTGCGTTCATGACAGTTATTACAATAGTAAGGCCTATCAAAGTAGTTATTTTCTTCATTACCTCTCTTTTTACTTACTATTCACAGTATATAAATTAATTCATGATATGTGCTGCCTCTCTATAAAACCGCTTCACATTTTAGAATTTTCACTGTCACATGAATTTATCCCCTTAGAAAAGATTGATATTATTGTATTAGTAAATGTTCGCTTTATAAAAAAAGATCAATTTCAGTGGCTCTCTATTGGTGATCGATTCCAACTTGATATTCTAAGTCCTGTAAACTTGGTCCTTATACTGCCCTTCTGTCTTTTCCCCACTACCATTCTCAAACATGCTACCTTCATCTACCCAGGGTAGCCTCCTAACTGTCTGCTAAACATACAATTCTCTTTCCCAACTCTTAACTTTCACTCTCACTCATGTTCTTCTCTTGGCCAGCTTAGGAATCCAACCTATTCTTTAGTGCTCAGTTGAAACCCCACAAGGCCACTCCAACATATGCCAACCATACCATAAATTCTTTGAGGTGAGGTACAAGGTCTTTTATTTCTTCAGTATCCTCCTTAGTGTCTAGCACCCATGGACTTTGCTCAAGAAATACAAATGAATTAAATCTTTGTAATGGATTTGCAGGAAGTATACCAGTATCTAAAGCTTGCTTTGGTTCTCATCTTATAAGATATAAATCTGTCTTGCCATTACGATTTCTTTATAAGTCTAAAAAAATATCCTATGAACTAATGATAATGTTTAAAACCAGAGTTTTAGCAAAAGTATGACATGTCCTTAATTTTAAGTGCCTATTCATTTTGATTGCTGGATTTTCCAACTGCCTAACCCTATGGTGACATCTGTATAAATCAGATGTGATTATTATAATTCTCTTTGAGAGTGATGTCTTCACATTTCCAGCCCACAGCCTGCCAAAAATATAGCTGATGAAAACCAGAGGGAATAGAGGAATTTCCTGAAAGGAATAAACAAGCACATTTTCTTTTTCTCATTACATTTCCACAAATTCATTACTACCAATAATTCTTAAATGGAGTTACATTTACACATCAGGGATCTTGTTGTTATAAAATATTACTTAGCATTAGGATTAGCTTTTTGTTATGGGAAGGTAAACCATGCACACACACACACACACACACACACACACGAAGAGAGACTGAGACAGAGAGAGCTAAAAAGTGCCAGGCAAAGAAGGAAGATGTGAGACTTGGAGAATGTTCAAAGGGAAGCCACAGTGAGAATTAAAAGGTTGGAAAATATGATATTCTGGAATCTTATCATAGTTGATTGCTTGTCCTTCTTCCTACTCACTCTGTCATCCACCCACCCTTCCTCTCTCAGCCACCGCCTTCTCGCAGGCATTTGTCTACTCACCCACTTAACACCCACTTCTGTCTGCCAAGACAGATACTCTCTCAACATACCTGCCAATGGGCATGTGACTGTTTCTGAACAAGTGTGAGTATGAAAGAAAGAGAAATGTCTTTATGAGACTGAGTTGAGAGAGGGTATATTTCCATATATATGCATGTGTCACTATATACAAGGGTGTGTGTTTTTGCATGGATGAGTGGCTGAGGATGACTCTGTGTCTATGTGTCTATGTGTATCTATAAATGTGTGTCACTATGTGGTGGAGGAGATAATGTCTGTGTTAATTTTCTGTGGTTATCTGTAGATAAGTTGGATATGAGAGGACCATGAGTGTAACGCAGGTTTTC